CCAGGAGTCCTCCAGCGTAGGGTTTAAGTTTCCCTTCCTGCTTAACCTTGCTCTTTGACCCTGCCTTCAGCCACTCTCCCATCCCCTCTGCCCTCCTGACCCCAACTCCCAGCTCGGGTCCAAAAACCCGACCTGCCAGCGCCCTGGGGCATCTTTCCGACATGAAGGGCACTTTACAAGTATTGTTGTTGATGATACTCTTAATTTTACGGGTGTAGCTTAAACAAATGAAGGAGTAGGAATTGATGCAATAGAATGCTTGTGCTTTGAACATCAATTCCCACACACAGAGCACCATGAAATTCTCATTTTACCAGGGCTTATGATAACTTCACGGAAATCAGGATCCTGTAACTGATGAGGTACTTCCTGTAACAATTCGACTCATTACAGAACGGCATAAAAGTACCTAGGTAACCTTTTAGAGTACTTCATTTGATGCTTTCCACTGAACTAATGTTAATAGGTTGGGTTTTTTGCTGCCTAATATGGAAATAACAGTGCCATCACATCAATAAAGGTATCAAATGCACCAAGATACTTTTAAGAAACCAACTATGCAAATATTAGACTCCACCTCCAGCGAAATTAGATTCACAAAAAAAACTTGAGAAATAGAAGAGAGAGAGCTGACTGTCAAATGTTCAACATCTCTGCACACTCTACATCAAAGTAGAATGGCAAAACAGGCTCAAGGTGGTGAATAGCCTGTTCCTTTGTTCCACCGGATTATTGACACCATCAAATAATTTGGAAATTGTCCCAAAAAATTTAGTGCACCCCAAGACTCCAAGAGAACCAATACTGTTGCTGGCTGAAAAAGGAGTTAATCCCAACAGAACTTGACAATTTGTGCACTTCTATCCGAGTGTTTTTTCTATGGTCTTACACAGTCAAGAATTTCTGGGTAAATAACACATTACATTTGTATAGCGCCTTTCACGTCAGGAGGACTCATAAGGCATGACATAGTCGGGGATTTTGACCCAAGCTGGAGGTTGGAATCAGAAGGGTGGAGGTAAGAGGGTGACCAAAGGCATGTTTGAAGAGGAGGGTCTGGAGACAAGTCTTGAAGGAGGCAAGGGAGGGGACGAGGCAGTGACATACAGTTCCAAAGGGTTGGGGCAGAGAGGTTGAAGGCCCGAACAACAAAGCTTCAGTAGAAGAAAGATTACACCAACTGATTCCCTCTACTTAATGCACAGTACTTTTTGTTTCAAAAGAGTATAGTGAGTTTCAAGCACAGCTTTTCAAGAACTGTTGAGCTTCAATGCCTAAAATTATTACACTTAAAAGGATAAAAGCATATTAAAAAGGTGACTGAATTGGAAACTGTCAGTCACAGTAAAATGGGTTTGCAACGAGATGCTCTGCTGCATCAAGCAACAGCAACTTGCACTTAGATAGTGCCCCTCAGAGCGCTTGATTGTGGCGGAGCATGATGCCAAGCTGGAGGGAGGGGGGGAAGTGACCGTAGGCACGGTTGAAGAGGAAGATCTTCAGGCACGACCTAAAGACGGGGTAAGGCGTTGGATTAGAGGACGAGTGTTCCAAGGTTTCGGGGCGTAGCGGCTAAAAATGCGGCCACTAATGGTGGAATGGAGGGCATGAGTGACATGGAATCAGGTGAGCAGAGGCAGCGGATTGAGGGTTGGAACAGGGTGAACTTATAACCTAGGCTGACACTCCACTGCCACAATGGGAGAACGCAATACTGTTAGCAACACTGTAATACAACACAAGCCATGAATGGATTTCCATTGCGTTTGGAACCCACTTCAAACAACTACAAACTGATGAGACATTTTACTTTGGGAAAAAACAAATCTAAGCAAGAGTTAACTACTGCTGCATGTATAACTCATAGCTGCCAACGAAGGAGATTTGGGCAGGCACACAGCTTAGCTGGCACCTATCATTTCTAAGTATTAGTTTTCTGTTTTTTAAAAAAATGGTATATACTTAGCCAGGAATAACAAATCCATTAAACCAGGAGCAGCAACCTCTCCTCCATCAGTAATCTGATTACAGGCAATAGTCAGTGTTTCCAACAGTAATGCTGAATATCTAATGCATTCTGGACTGGCCATAAGAAAAATGTATTCGCTACTTCTTTTATGGTTATTATGAACCACAGTAACAATGCTTCATCTCTATTATTATTACTATGATAAGCATATTCTTTACATAGGGTGTCAGCCTGGCTCAGTTGGTAGCCCTCTCGCCTCCAAGACAGAAGATTTTAGGTTCAAGCTCCATGTTGGGCTGCCTTCTGTGCCTCTTCAGTGGGTGTTAAGGCACCCACGGCACCATTGGAAAAGAAAAGGGAGATTCTCCAGTTGTCCTGGCCAACAACCTTGCAAATAAAATTGGTGATTCACTTCATGGCTGTTTGTGGAACATTATTACATATGTCAGCCAGGCCTCAGAGTTAGAAGGTTGTAGGATCAAGCCCCCCCCATCAGGACTTGGAATCACATAGTCTAAGCTGATGCTCCAATGCGGCATCGTGGGGGAAGGGGCGGGTGTGCATTTTTTGTCAGAGGTGCCGACCTCCGGATGAGACATTAAACTGACTCTCTGTCTGTTCAGGTAGACATTAAAGATACCACAGTGCTATTCAAAAAGAGTTTCCCTCTTCCAGTGTCCTGTCTAACAATCTCCCAAATATAACTTCTTACTCACTGCATGGTTGTTTGTAAGACATAGTTGTACGCAAACTGGCTACTGCATTTCGCCCACAAAATACACAGTCAAACCTCTTAAGTATATCCTGTGAAGTGCTTTGAGAAATCTTATCATATGATAAAGCGCTATATCAAATGCAACAATTATTATATTATGTGCAAAGTATCTACCGCGTTTGCCTACAAAACTCAGTCACTCCACTTTAAAGCAGTGTGAAGAGCTTTGGGTCGTCCTCACGACATGAAAAACACTGTATGAAATGCAAGGATCATTAAATATTATTTTCTGGTCTTACACATCCATCTTTTCATGGTTTTCAGCGACTATTTCGATGCATAGCTTATTAGTGTGTCAAATCATTGCACAATGAATTTGTAAGCAACATTTTTATTTAAATTCAAACTGTGGAAACCCAACAGCACACATTTTACAATAAGTTTGAAACTTCTAATTCTGCATTCACAAATCTGAGCCAGTGAAAATACTCTTGTGCCGTAAAAGTCATTGCAAAGTGAAACTTATCACTATGATATTTTGATAATTTTTGAAAAAGTAACCTCACACCTTTTAACCTATTAAATCAGTCGAATAACAAAAAGTGACTATTCATTCAAATCTCAGCATTCTTCACTTCCTAAACAAGAATGTTGGGATCAAGACTGAGGGATAAAGATAGGAGAGTTCATGAAGGAATTTGCAAAGTAAAATTAGGCCACAAGTCTTAAAATGCGCCAAAATACTGTAAGGTATTTTGGGGGGTATAAAATTTTGCACATTATCACCATAAATATCTTAATGGGTTAGCCTCAAACCACCATTATTTAAATGTAAATTCCCCCATTTTGAACAGTTTTGAGACAATTGGTGGCTGCGCTTTCAGCCATTACTTCTCGAAACTCTGTCACACTCTCCATTAATCTCTCCGCCTTGTCCCCTCCTTTTCCAATTTCAGATCGTGCCTGAAGATCTTCCTCTTTGACTATACCTACGGTCACCACCAACCCCCNGGTCCCCCACCCCCAGCTCGGCGTGTGCTCTGGGACTCTATCCTGCGTGAGAGGCGCTGTGTAAAAGCAAGCTGTTATTGTTTTCAGACCAGTACTGATTCACAGTTGGGTTATATTGGCATGCTGCAGGCTTCTACAGGTAGAAAAGGACCAATATGGCACTTAGAACAACAGGTACAAACTCAACAAGATCCCGTCACCTAATAACTACGTGAGGAGCGGGAAGGAGCTACTCCACATCTCTGCATTTAAAAGAGCAGAATACATTTCCAGCTTGTCAGGTTGGCGTTAATCTCACTTCTTGCCTGCTATTCGCATGACGCCCCATTAAGGTCACGGAGCGCTATCACTGAGCCATTGTGTCAGCCTGGCTCAGGGGTAGCGCTCTCGCCTCAGAGTCAAAAGGTTGTGGGTTCAAGTCAAGTTGGGACTTGGAATCAAACGTCTAAGCTGACACTCCAATGTAGTGTTGGGGGTATGCTGGATTGTATGCTGGAGGTGCCACCCTTCGGTTGAGACGTTTAGAGTGCAACCCAACTCACGTGGATGTCACGTGACATCTTTATCCCCAAACCATCTTGGGTGTGGATTCCTGACTGTTCAGCACCTTGGTCGCCCTCCTGACGTGAAAGGCACTGTGTAAATGTCATTTGTTGCTGCTGTTGTTTTGGGAAGCGACCTTATCTGTGCATAGTTTGCTTGTGCAGAGCAGACCCACCGACCCAGAAGTCAGTCATATTTTTAGCGCAGAAAGTTGTGCCGGAAATATTCTGGATCTCCATCAAGTAACCAGGAATCACTTGACACTCCCCTTATGAGTGAACATTCACTCAGCGAGACACTTCATCTCAAGCTTTAACCTACTTGTTAAAACTGACTAATCTACTCACCGGAGATAATAATCATCATCCTTGCATTTAATATAGCGCCTTATCGTGTCTTCAAGATGTCCCAAAGCGCTTCATAGAATATACTGTAAAGTGAATTGACCTTTTTTTNGTGGGCAAAATGCGTCAGTCAATATCGCATAGGAGTGTCCCACAAATAGTCGTGGATTGAAGTGACCAATTTTTTTTGAAGGGATTATTACCCTTGGAAAAGCGATCCACCAATAACAACTGGGTTCCTTTTTCTTGCTAGGTAAACAGAAGCGTGTGGATTAAAGAAACTTGCCCAACATTTTGTCCTACGGGGAATCAAACCCAGGTATCTCGCTTGCGAAGCGAATGTTCTAACCACTGTAATCAAGAGTACTCTAAAAGTCTGGGTTACAAAGTTATCAGATACATCTAGTATTTCACGTACCTTTCACTCTATTTCCCTCACACCATTCAGAGCTTCACTTTAGATCCTCCTGACAGAGAAAGGAGAAGCGTACATTAGGATGCTATACTATACAAGTTTACATTTACATAGCACCTTTTAAATTGGGAGCACATCCAAAGACACTTAACAATTTGCACAGAATACCTAATATATGGAAGCTTCTATTAGCACAAAAGCACAACACCAAATGTCTAACTCTCAGACACAGAACTCGCTGTTGCAGAGAATAAAATTCCTATTTTAAGAATATGAGGAGGCCATTCAGCAATAAAACCTGTCCTTTAATGCGTTAGATAACATTGGGCAGATCTTTTAATCTCACTTCCCTACCTTTTTACTATATCTCTCTTTCAACAATTAAAAGTTAATAAGATTATTAGTGGTGGTTTGGAGGTGTTGGGGGAGAGCGTTGCAGAAGTTAAGGGGTAAGGAACTAAAGGATCAGCTAGCGATGGAAAGGATGCTATTAAGCAGTTATAGAGGGGAGCTTAAGAGTGGCTGTTCACCATTCATCTAATTTTTGTGGTAAACATAGCATCTAGTTAAGACAGCAATTACAGTCAAATATAGTTTATCTAAGCAAACATGGCTGCTAACAGAAGATATCATAATTAGGCATGAAGTCTTTGCCAAGCTCCACTGGCTCCCAATCACCAAACAAATCAACTTCAAGATTCTCTCACTTATTTTCCAATCATTTCAATCCCTCACACCTCCCTACCTATCCTACCTGCTTACCCTGCCAATCCACTACCCGCTGCCTCCGCTTGGCTGGCTCCAGCCTCCTGACTGTCCCTCGTCCCCTCCGTTCCACCATCGGCGGTCATGCTTTCAGCCACTATGCCCCGAAACTCTATAACTCTCTCCCTCAATCCCTCTGCCTTGCCCCCTCCCCACATTCGAAGCCCGCCTAAAGACTTTCCTTTTTGATCATGCTTATGGTCACCTCCCCCTCCCTCTTCCCTTGGCTTGTTGTCAGACTCCACCACTATGATGCGCTCTGGGACCCTACCCTGCGTGAATGTCAGAGGAATTAGTGTTCAGAGGGATTTGGGTGTCTTTGTACACCAGTCTCAAAAAGTTAGTTTGAAGGTGCAGGAGCAACTAAGAAGGCGAACGGCATGTTAGCGTTCATTGCAAAAGGTTTAGAGTATACAAGAGTAGGGAAGTCTTGCTGCAACTGTGTAGAGCCTTGGTGAGAGTATTGGGTGCAGTTTTGGTCTCCTTATTTCAAAAAAGGCACACTTGCCCGAGAGGGGGTGCAGCGTAGATTCACTCGGTTAGTGCCTGGGATGAGGGGACTGACCTATGAGGATAGTCTGAATAAACTGGGGTTGTATTCTCTAGAGTACAGAAGAATTAGGGGAGATCTTATCAAAACATATAAGATTCTTAAAGGGCTGATAAAGTAGACACTGTTTCCCCCGGGAGGAGAATCTATAACCAGGGGTCACAGTCTGAAAATTAAGGTTCAGCCTTTTAGAACAGAGTTGAGGAAACATTTCTTCGCTCAGAGGGCAGTGAATTTATGGAATTCACTCCCCCAGAAGGCTGTAGATGCTCAGTCCTTGAACATCTTCAAGGCTGAGACTGAGAGATTTTTAAAATACAGAGGGATTGGGGATAGAGCAGGTAATTAGAGTTAGGTCTGAAGATCAGCCATGATCTTTTCAAATGGCGGGGCACAGGCTCGAGGGGCCGAATGGCCTTCTCTTGCTCCTAATTGTTATGTTCTTATGTCGCTATGTGAATGCGAGTTATTGGTGGTGTTGTTGAAGCGAATGACTAAACAATGAATTGAGAGGATTGCTGAACAGGTGTGCCAGAGATTACCTCTCCCGTTCCCCCTGTGTACTTTTCAGCCTGTAGGTTGGCTGGCTCAGTTGGTAGCATTCCCACCTCTCATTTAATGAAACAAGGTATACCTGCAGCCCAGCCTTACAAAGCAAACAATATCACATACCAACTCAGATTAGTCAAGTCACTTTTTACTTTTTAGCATGAGATGCTGGCCATTTAGCTGAAAAAGTCCTGTACTTCCAGTAATCATGGATCTACTGGATATCCAAGGTATAAGTGAAGTCACACACCAGCAAAGCACTTATAATGGGAGGTTAGCCACACTGTACAAGGCTAACACATTAGCATGCGAGTTGCTGTGCCGCTTAACAATTTAACAATATCAGACCTGGCTGCATCTTTTCTCAAATTACTTGCATTTACAAATTGCCACTCCATATCAAAATCACTATGCCTGACTCTATCCCACCTTGTTTACTTATAACACTCCCAACACCATCCCACAACTACAGACCTCAAGTGGATCAAATGCAATATATTACTGCATCCATACTGACTGATGGCACCCACACTAGATTTCAAAGTTAAATGCAATACAGGCACCAGATTAAGGAAACTAAATTCTCAGTCTTATTTTAATCTTTATGTTGATGTTGCATCATAGAACATAAATTATTTAACTCTCCAAATTTGCAGTCTCATGTGCCAGCTGTTTGGATCTTATCCATTAGACTTTAACAACTAACACAATGTATAATTGCAGCAAAGGAATAACTCTGACCAAAAGCAGAATAAAATTGAATCAAATGAAGACTTTGTCGATTGAATCTGTATTTGCTAAATCAGTTCCTGTCAAAAAGGTTAAAAAACAGTTAAGAAAATGACCAAATGCGAGAAGTCTAAAAAAAAAGTTTTTAAAAAATTTATGATTCTAGGAAAACATAAACTTCAATGTATATATTTTCAATATTCAGTTCCGGAATAGTAGAGGTGGTCATGTCAAACAAAATAAGTAACACTGATATGATTTTTAAAACATTAGTGCATAAAACACAGGGATGCAATTTTAGGGATGCCAATTTTAAAATGTGTCAATCTGTACAATAATTTCATACACTGGGATATGGTACATAGGTAGTTCAGGACATATGTGCATTCAACCGCCAGGAAGGTGGAAGGCGAACTAAATGGATCTTGGTAATTTTTTCATTTAGCAGTTCTTATGTTTTTTATGTTCCATTACATAGTCTTAAAATCAGAACGAACACAGTTAGATTCAAGGTCAGAAACAAATGAATTGACTTAAAGGAAGAGAACATCAACAAGGGTTCTTGATCACTTTCATAAGGCAGAAACACCTGCACACCTGAGAGTTTCTTGAGTGAAAATCGGATTGGGCACAGCTGCGATGTGCTTCAGCCAACTAACACTTAGAATCAAGTAATATATCAGTGATGGGTGATAAATACCTGTAGAGCCAAACCACAGTTAAAAAAGGGTTAGATGCCTTCCCCAGAGTACATGACCCAATCAAAAATCCATCATCGTACTTAAGAGTATTCAAACCAAACTAAGATTTCCAAGCATGGAAATCCCAGACAGGTTGTTGGAATGGATGCACACTCTCCCTGGATGGATGATCCTGCTTACCTAATTCTGGAACATATTAGGAGTAGGTTGGCAAGAGCCAAAGCTTGGTGACCCCAGAGCGTATGTTGCAGTCTAACCAGCTATGCAGCTAAAACATAGCTTGCCATTGATAGCACTGCTTGGCAAGCTTTCCTGCCGCTTGTCTTCAGCTCCCCTCTCGTCTCTCTACCCCCTCCTCGCTCCCTCCCTTCCCTCCCCCCACCCTGACCATTTCCCCCTTGTTCGGGTCCTGACCCAACTGTGCAGCGCCTTGGGACGTCCTCCCGACGTGAAAGGCGCTCTATAAATGGAATCTTGTTGTTGTTGTTGTCCAGCTAGGATCACCCTACCCGTTAGGGCTTTGGCTTGCAGGGTTAACAGGAGCTGAGTGGGATGACTCCTTAGTCCCAGTGACTTGTCAAGAGTAAAAATCAAGCAAAGAGAAGAAAATGTAGGCCCACATGTACCCCGTGAATTGCCAAAGAGGCAAGAAGGTACAGAAGCGATAATTGACTCGTCCTCACAAAGCCTAAACAACGTGTAGCAATAATAAAAAGTAAGTAGAGTTGCTATTGTCTATGTTGAAAAAAAGTGCTCTGAATGCAATACATCTTCCAAGCTACAGTTGCAGCAGAATAATTACTGGCTATTTCTGAAAGTAACAATGTAAATATATTAGACACAGCTAAATTACAATTGGTCTAAAATTGTCTGGTCAGGCCACAGATGGAATACTAAACATAGGCTGAATGGCCTATTACTGAACAATTTCTAATGTACTGCATACATATTCTGTGGCCATGATATGAAGGGCCATCAACAGCCTTGGAAATATAAAGGAGAGAAACTAAATTAATTTCCAGTATTTGTGAGTTAAGCTAAGAGGAAGAAATAAAAGGTAGGTAGATCTCTTCAGTATTTGAAGAGATAGCTCAGACATCATTTTATACGATATATAAATTAAATGTCATACAAAAAGTAATGCCAGAACAATATTTTCAGGTATGTCCAACCTGGAGTTATTTTGGAGCACTCAAATCATCCACTAAGGCCAGTGAAAAGTAGAATTTCAGCAGGCTCTCAAAAGAAGGCTGACAATGAACCTACCCTGAGAGGTAAGAGAAAGAATCCCTCTTTGGGTTTGAAGCCAGAGCAGAAGCGTTTCTTCAAACAGAGGTGTGAAAATGGGAAATCTACTACCCCAAATGGCCATTAAGGTAGAGTCAATTCGGATGTTAGTAAAGAAACTTGGAAGGCAAGACTATTAAGGGGTATGGGGAAAAGGCAGGGAAATGCGATTTTAAAAATCTGTTGTGATCTAATTAATAAACTTGCAAAGTAATGATAAACAACAGCCTAGGAGGCATCCCAATGTTCCTAGTGAGATTGAGCAGGATATCCGAAAACATTTCTTACACTAGTATCAGAATGGCCAGATTATTTTCTTCCTTTCGAAGTCTAACTACACCCTTGGGAACTAGATAAAAAGCTGGAGATGTTTCATGAAAACTTTAGTCTTTAGGAAAGCTGGCACACCAAGTTGACCAATGCTCGAGCAAAAACATGAGAATTAATAATTTGTAAATGATGCACTGACCT